GAGAGAGAAAATGCGCCACCGCCGAGTACCTGCCGACGCTATACCTATCTTACAGCACTGCACGATCACGTGCAAAAAAGAAAGATAAGCGAGAGAGAGAAAAATGTGAAAAGAGAAATAAGGAAGGAGAAAAAAAGCTTGCAGCAACGGAAGGGAAATTACATATTACGAGCTATATCACGTGCTCGTAAATCGAAGGTGGTATATAAGGGCTGCTGCTGCACACGAGCTTGCAAGCTCGCAAGGGGGAGGAGGAGGCGAGAGAGGAGCTTGATTATATTTCGCTCGCTCTCGCGCTTTTACGGATGAACTAGTTTCATCTCTTATATATATACGCGTCACGAGGATAACGTCGAGGATCGTTGCGGCATTTCTCTCTCTCTCTCTCTCTCTCTTCGTATGAGACTCCAGACTCACAATTTCTTCGTCATCGGCATCGCAGCTATACTGCGTACAGTGCGGCGGTGGTGGCATGGCGCGCGGCATATTTGCTATTTATTGAAAGTCTTCGCGTAATATACGCGGCTGGTATCGACGCGGCAGCAGCAGCGGCAGCAGCAGCAGCAGTAGCAGCATCAACCGAGAGGACAAAAGAAAGGGTTGGAATTCCGATGTGCGTGGAGCATCGGGAGGGTATTGTACGCTGCTTCTGCACTGGCTCGTATAGATAACTCGATCATCGGTTCGCGCTATAAACCCTCGTGTAAGTGTGTGGGCGTATTATTATATGTGCACACGTGTGGTCAAAGAGCTTCGGCCTTTTTATTTTCCTCTCTTATCTCGGATGCCGCTGCTGCTGCCGCTTCGAAGCTCTTGAAATGTTTATTTATGGAGGGATGAACAATTTTTCATAGAGATTACATGGTTTCTCCGTTCCGATTCTCGGAGCTCTCTTTCTCTCTCTCTTTCTCTCCACCGTTAAGTTCGTTAATTAAATTTTAATTACTTCCCTCGGTAATGACGACGTCGATGATGAAAAAAGAAGACGAAGAAGAAAATGATACGATTATTATTCTCTGCGCTGCTTTAAGAAAATAAAAAAAAATAAGTATTAATTCCTTAATTTATCCGGTGCGGAGAAGAAGAAGTTTAGCGTCAATTAAAGTACTTCGCTCTTGTGTTTTGTGTTCCCGACGTGCGCACACTCGAGCGAGCAGCGCAGAAATTAAATTTCGCATGAATTTCTCCAAGTTGAAGGAGGAGAGCTTCGATTCAATGCACTTCTCGCTTTTTATATTCTTTTCGACATTTTGGCCGAGTGCCTTGATTCGAGGAGTTTTTTTCTTTTTCTGATTGTTTTTCTTTTTTCATTCCTGCGCTCGAACACAAATAATAACCCATCGAGGAGGTTCTCTCCGCGCTCCGTGTAATATGCAAAAGAAAAGGAGAGAGAGCGAAAAAAATTTTCTTGTTTCACGTCGGGGCACTTGAAGAAAAATATTGACAGATTCGTATATACGCCGCAGTACAGGTGGTAGAGAGACAGAGAGATAGAAAGAGACTCAAAAGAAAAGTTTAAGAAGCCGCGAACAAGACGAGCGAAGAAGAACGAAGCGCGGAAAAGTAGCAATTTGGATTGTTGACAAAGTCGTGCTCCGCTACAGCAGCAGCAGTGTATTGTTACAAGCGATCATCAAGCTCTGAACGAACAGCTGTGCTATATAATAGTAAGAGAGTTTTTATGCCAAGATATTATTTTCGGTATCGTAACGATCTGCGCTAGCTGTTTTTTGATGGATTGCTCCGCGCCAAGTCGGACACGCGAAACTTTTCATGCGACGACAAATAAGCGCAAACAAACAGTTTCAGCGAATAGATCATCATTTTTTTGAAGATTTTTTAATTGAATCAAAGCACGATTTATATTTCTCTCGGCTCTCGAGCCCATAATGTTTTTCTCTGTATTAATTAATGCAAAAGTAGCGACGAGTGAGAGTAGTCTGTACGCGCGGCCATCGAGTCAAATTAGAAGTAGAAATAAATCATCATTTACGAGTGCTTTAAGAGCACATTACAACAACTGCCTCGAGATAAGAGCTCTCGCGACTTTGAGAATATAATTTTCGTTTGTGCACAGTTTTCTATGAATGCATAATAATGTCTCTCTCTCTCTCTCTCGGCTGTGCATAATTAGGAAGTAGCTCTAGCAAGTGTGCTAGCTAGTCTCTCTCTCTCTCTCTCATTTTTTTTTTCATCTTTTTTTTCGTTTTATTGCCTGTAATTCGAAACACGTGCCGCCGTGTCGCAGCACATGTCGTCGATACACCTATGCCTTTTTTTCTGCCGCAATTATGCATTTTCAATACGCGAAGACAAAAAAAAGTCTGCTGTGTGTGTGTGCCGTGCTGTGTGCTCGCGGACGACGACGATTGGGAAATCGTCGAGTGCATGCGCAGGCTAAATATAGCGATGAAGGCGCGCAGAAAGAAATAATAAAATACGATGGAACTCGAGGCGCGCGCGCGCGCACAAAACCTTCGCGTGAAAATTGAAAAAAACTGCCTTTGAAGAAAAAATATATATATAAGTGTATGTTTTCAAGTCAATAAACTTGCCACGAGCAAAACAAATCGGTACTCGTAGACCGAAAAAACCATAAATATGCTTGAGCACTGAGATGCGAATCTTTTGTCCGAGCAGCAGTAGCAGCAGCGCAGGTTTGAAATTATACACTCAGGAGTTCGAATGCTCCAAATTTTCATCAAAAAATTTTTAAATTGAATCTCTTTCATCATTTCCGCTGCTAAAAAAAAAGAAAAGAAAGCTTATCGCCGCGTATATACGAAAAGACTACTGCTGCAATGAAAATGCTTTTAATTTTAAACGATCGAAGAGGAGCAGCAGATTCGCAGCGAGTTAACGCGTGTACGAGAGCAGCAAGCAGCACACGGTTAAAAATGATGAAAATCTCTCGCGCGCGCGCCCGAAACGAGCTCGATTATCTCGCATTCGCAGAAATTTTTTCTTTATCATCGTCGTAGAGAGAGGTATATATACCGCACCTCGAGCCGCGCATATATGTATAAACCGATCGATATGTGCGGCGTGTGGCGCGAGGGATACGTACATCGGGAAGAGGAGGATAGAAAAATGAAGAGTAAAATAAAAAACAATCAAGAAACTGACGTTGAGAGAGAGAGAAATTGATGCAGTGCACAGTGCAGCACAACACGGTCGAAGAGAATATCGTCAGTGTATGGAAGAGAGATAGAAATGTATCCTCTCGTTCACCCCCCCTGCCCCCCACGTAACATACACAATATATTTTATGTATTGTTCGATCGGTGAACGGAACCTCTTCTGTAGCGACAACTGTCACTACAGCTTCTCGCGGGCGTTTTGATCTCTCGTACGTAAAATTCGAGCTTACATATAAGCTATTCGCGTTGTACAAGCGCCACTTCAATGACGTGATAAAGCCGACATCGCCCTCGTGGCGATGATCAGATTACAACCCCCGATGCATCGCTCGTCAAAGACGTCGATGATCGTCTGATAGAATCGAGAACAGCAGACATCTATGCGTTCGTTTGACAGTTTTCTTACAGAGAGGATGTATTGAAATTTGGAAGAAAAGCTGAAAAAGCTCTTTTGGGCAACGGAAGACTCGAAAAATGTCTCGGGAATCTCTCGTGCAATTTCGCCATTGTCGACGAATAAGACACAGAGATGCCTACGGGCACGTTTTTGTAAATACAGATCTGTTACGAACCAGTATTGTATGGGAAAAAATTTGGCGTCATTATATCGACTTATTTACCAAACACCTCGTCAAACATTTTAGTCACGAAAGACGCGGGTCGGATCCTTGTATCTGCATAAAGCTCCCACGATGAGCAAGCTGCCCCAAGCCTTTTCCTCTCGAACTAATGCCTAACGGTAGTCCCGTGAGGACAGAATAGCATCGGAATAAAGGAAAAGTAAGAAGATGGATCTTTACATGTATTGTGGATAATTATTACAACCACGTTATTTTACATTGCCACGATTAATGTATAACTTCATAATATGTGATAAGTCGTATGCTAATCGTCGTCAGCAGCTACTTATGTGTTAATATTATTTTAGCCATTATCGAGTATTGTGTACGCCACCTGTTGGTGATACAGTCGGTTCGGCTTTATTATCATCACTTTGGGCCGAGGAAATAATATACGACTGTTCTAATCGACTTGACGTATAAAAGTAGTGTCTCTAATAAACATGAGTAACATTAAAGGCATTAAATAAGTCGTCAAAGGCTTTCAGAACCCCCTTGGTGTACGTCTCCAGGCGACCTGCAAGCCCGATTATGTTTGTAAAATCTTGCCCATATAGTTTTCGGCCATATACAGAGGTCTCAAAGACGGGAATTGTGGAATATTACGCGCTCCCGGGGACCGAAGCCACCACCGCAAGGATCAGGATCAACGGAGGCGAATTTTTTACTCGTATGAACTAGTTTCATTTCTCATTATATATAACGTCGAGGGTCGTTGTGGCATTTCTCTCTTTCTTCGTCATCGTCATCGCAACTATACTACGTACAGTGCGGGGGTGGTGGCATGGCGCGCGGCATATTTGCTATTTATTGAAAGTCTTCGCGTAATATACGCGGCTGGTATCGACGCGGCAGCAGCAGCAGCAGCATCAGCCGAGAGGACAAAAGAAAGGGTTGGAATTCCGATGTGCGTGGAGCATCGGGAGGGTATTGTACGCCACTGCTGCAGCACTGGCTCGTATAGATAGGACTGGATATTATTCGATCATTGGTTTGCTATAAACTCGTGGGTGTGTGTGTCTGTATTGTATTATTACGTGCGGTCAAAGAGCTTTGGCCTTTTTATGCGTGCGCGAGCTCCAAATGAATAATCATGCGAATGAAATCCACTGATACACTTATCAGATAAAAACAGCTTTCGAATCGACTCAAAAAACCTCAACGCAAGATTACCCAAAATAAATGAACTTCGTGACAGATACTAAATGTTAAAATTGAAAAAAAATCGCGTGATACTCACGTGCCGAGCTGCTCCTTGAGTGTGTACTTGTCGTCGATCGTAGGTAGCTTGTCATCGCGCTTGGTCTTCTTGGCCGAGGGTCTGCCGAATAGCGGCATCTTAATGTACCACCCTTTTGCTCGAGGATTTATACTACTATTATGCACAAAGCCGCAAAGAGTAAACGTCGGCGATTATCCCTCGACAACTTAGCGGAGCTTTTAATAATAACGATAACGTGTAAAAGCTCTCCTCTCGTCGGCAACACAGAAAACAAAATCTTCCTCTTCTTCTTCTTCTTCTCTCTCTCACTCGCACGGAACAGCTGATCCCCTCGGGGCTGCAGTCGAGGGGGAAAGAGAGAGAGGTATAAATAACTAACGAAGCGTGAGATGCTCGAAGCGCAGCGCGCTCGACGTTTCGGAAGATTGACCCGAAGAGAGAGAGTGAGGTTGTGGAGGCTTGGAGCGGCGGCAGCGGCGTGTCACAAGTGCCAATAAATAGATAATCTCTTATCAACGCGGCTCTCGCTCTCTGTGGGCTGGCTGCTAGCCGTGCTGTGTATTATATTATTATATATATATATATAAAAAAGTCGCACACGCGCGCCAGTTGCAGCATCAGCACACACCACTGTGTCGGTTGCAGCAGCAATGCAGCATCAACTTATTTTCTTCTCCACTCACTCTCGATCTCTATTTTGCACAGCTGCAAAAGGAACGTCCGCGAAATATTATCTATCGACACTTGTCTATTTTGCACTCACTCCAATCCACTGTTTATGTATTATATGCCGCTGTTTCGATCGTTACAACAGAGGGAGGGATAGTTTGTTTACACGAGAATCGAAAAAAAATAAAGTACATACAAACGAGTACGATATTTATTTTTCTTTGTCTCCTTCTATAGCCTCGTGTGCAAGCTCGATGAGATAGCTGCTCTTCTTGGTAGTAGAGTAGAGACAATAGACCACTAGCCAATTATATCAGCATTAATCACGCGTAAAAGGGGGTTTGTTTTTCTCCTCTCTTACTCTCTCGCAGACACGCGCGCCGTTGAATGTATAAAGCTGCATTCGGGGGGATGGGGATATTTATCACACTGCAAGCACACTCGCGCACACGTTTACTCTCTCTCTCTTCTTTACGTTTGTATATATTCTCTCGGTTTATAGTACAATAGTCAGTGTTGTATACATAAAAACGTGAATGTATATATAGTCTCGGAATAGATGTTAACGCGGGCGAGTCAGCCGGACGACTACTAAGCGTTGACTATATTCGCGTGCGCCAAGCAGAAAGAGAGAGAGAGAGAGAGAGAGAGGCGTAAGTGTGTCTATGTGTTACTCGTGTGCCGCTGCCTCGTATATATACGGCGGTGCGGAGAGAGCGAAATGCTGCTCCTCTCTTGCTTGCATAAACACACATGCACGAGAAGTTGGTATACACATACAGTTTTGCAATACGCACACACACATACATACACTCGCCTCACCTACATGTACAGATATATACCCGCGTTGTGTGTATAAAGGAGGCGGATGAATAGGAGGAAGTGGTAAAGAGGAGGTGGTGGTGGAGGCAGCAGCAGCAGCAGCAGCAGCAGCAGCAGCAGTAGTAGTATAGTAGTAAGAGTAGTAGTAGCAGCAGTAGTGGTAGTAGTAGTAGTAGTTGTAGTAGTTGTATGAGAAAAAAAGAGAGAGAGAGATACGGCAGGAGGGAGGCTAAATCGCGGCGGAGCGAGAGAGACGGACAATCGTGATGGAAAGGAAGGTCGCGCAGCGGTGCAGCACACAGCGCAGCAACTCGCCGCGCCGTCGCTGCTTAACTTTGCTGCTGCTGCTGCTGTTGCTGCTCTTGGTGGCTGGCCTCTCTTACTTTTTTTTTGCTTCTTCTTCCAAATGTATAGTACTCACTGTGTGAGTATACGTGCGAATGTATGCGTGTGCGTGTGTGCAAATCGAGTCGGGACTGAACAAGTGGCAGCATCCACCACACACACACACACACACACACACACACACACTGGCAGCTCAGTGCAGTGGCGGGTAAAGAAGGGGGATGAACGTTCGTAATGCGTTTGTGCTGCTGCTGCAGTAGTACGAGTTGTACACATACAATACCAACACGGCCACGCGCCTTTTCTCTGTGTGAAACTCGGCGGAGCATCTAGGACCGGAGGCGCCGTCTGACGGCCGATCGGCGAAAATACACCCGCTCGCTCGTGTGTTTGCCACCGTACCACCCACCCACCCACCCACCGATACTCGCAAACAAATATATATATACACACGACACACATTGACACACCCTCGCCGTCGACTCCTTTTACTATCCATACATACATTGCGTTGTTTTCTTTTTTTTTTCGAAGCAGTTTGAAGTTTATATTGGGTTTGATTCGAGCGCGCGCGCACGCAAGCCGCCGATTGATATTTTCCTCCTATATTTATGCGGGAAAAATTATTCGAAGTTTATCAAACGGATATGCATCGCAGATAATAATATGCGCGATTTCATTAATTCGCTATGAGCTCTACCTTTAAATTGCATTTTTTATACAAATTAATAATAATTTTAAATTTCAAAACTAGCTCGTGAGCGCAGCAGCGGATGTTTGCATTGGTATTCATAATTGATCAATAGTCCGCGCGCGCAACGATCTCAACGTTTCTCTCTCTCTCTCTCTCTCTCTCTCTCTTTGTAAAGCCGGAAGTACAAGGCATGAATAATAGTTCGATCGCATAGGGCTATAATACCACGCAACATTGGAGGAAATTCAAAGTACGAAGCTCGATACATGTTATAAGTATAAGCTTGCGCGCGCGCGAGCTTAATAATAACATTGCGCGAGACTAACTTTTGCTATGAAAAACAGGCGGTAAAATTTCGATCGTAAAAAATAAGTATAAAAGTTTTTTATACTCGATACAGTATTTCGAAGACGACGACGAGGACGACAGCAAATATATGAAATATATGTAATATCTTCGGATCTTATGAATTCGGTTGTTATTGCAACATCGCTGCGATATTACGTTACATGATATAAAGACTTCAGAAGATCGGAAGCACAAGTTGCGATATCGAACATATAGTACATATGTATACGCAGCTTCAAAACGTCAATCTCGTGCAGCATCTAGCGCGAAAAATGAAGCTCGAATCTCTGCTGCCGCTGTATATGTATTATAATATGTGCAGACTCGCGCGCGCGAAACGCATCAAACGCAGTGGACAGCGGCATACTACGATAATGACGACGACGATGATGATAGTTTAATATACACATATGAAGTTTCTTGACTCTTGACCCATTTTGAGAGAGATCGCAGCAGCTATGGTAGCTGTCACTACACACAGATGTACTGTGCATTGCCGAGCTGATGCTCTGTGTGCTGTCGATATTGCATTTGTGCGCGTGAGCTTCGAGTGCTAATGGCGAGTGATGATGATAAAGTTTTTCCAAATGGCTTATGTATACGAGAGATATACAGGCAGAGAGAGAGAGAAAGAGAGAGAGGAAAAGCTTGCAGCTCGCGCTAACATGTTTTTCGAGTTTTACCCCCAAAAACTCGCATATCCCATATGCGATACATGGAAACGCACAGATAACTGCTTCGATCAAGTTTGTGCACGAGATATACATTACGTACTAGTTCGCTAGCAAAAGATTATTTTTGTTCCAGAGTTGGAAAATACTTTTAGATGAAATTATATTTGAAAATTGAAGGTAAAAAGACTGATTAATATTTTTACATAAATGATAAGCATTTATTTTAATGAAGGCAAACAAATAATGATTTAATACTATACCTAAATTTTAATTTGAGAGATCTTAATTGAAATTTTTCAAAAATATCATGAAGAATATAAGTTTATTATAATTAGAGCCAGAATTCAACGCTAGATGGTGACTACCATTATTTTTAAAACTACAAGTGGTATAGGAGAATCAATAAATATACCGTTATAAATAAGTATGTAGATTTAGTTGATCTTTTAATTTTAGTTGACCAATAATTGACGTTTTTGTAATTTGTATATTGCCTTTGCTGTTTTTCGAAGCTGAAGTGAATCGATGATTTTTCACAATTTTAAGTGGATATGTAGAAAACATCGGTAGCTCTTTGTCAAATACAATTATCTATGAACAATTACATAGTACCTATGAAATTTTTAAACGCCGAAATAGATTTTTGGAAATCAATAACATTTTTGGTAATGAATGCGATGTAATCCGACTCATTTTTAAGTTTAATAAATTCAAATTTATATATTCAATTTAATTAATGTTGCACATTTAAAATTTATAAGAAATATGAAAGTAGTTGCATGAAAATTAATGTAAAAGTGAAGGAAATGTTACATGAATCGACTTTTACTAAATTTAAACAATTTTATACCGAATTTAATGTAATTCCTGAAAAAATCTTTGACTCAATTCAAATGACGTTAATTTTAATGGTTTCACACGAAATCAAATTGAAATTATCTATATAGAGGTAAGGGAACGTCTTCCTCATTTACAAAAATGTTAACTGTGTGTATAATGTAGTGCTAACTGTGTATATAATGCTTTTCTTCAACGATATGTACACACCTTTTTTTTTTGTGATCTGACATCGAAAAATATATCGATGCAGATCGTGCACTTATAGTATACATTTTACACAAGCAGCATCAGTAGAAAGAACACAATTTGCGTGCTTTGCTCGTGCACATGTTATTTCATCTTATATTATAGATATAGGTATTTCGTCGCTCACGCGCGCGTCAACGAGATCTTCGCCGAGAGGTTTTTTTCCGTATTTGTGCATACACGTACACAAACAAGATGTCGAGAGAGTAACAACGACGACGACGACGACGACGACGACGACGATGCCGCATAAAATAGTTTGATACGGTATTAAGCTCAGAGCCGCGTAACGTTGAAGTTTTTAAGCGCGTTACACGGCTTACGAGCATATGCAGAAAAGCTCGATCGAGAGTGAGAGAGCTGAGAGAGAGACGACAGACGAGCGTGTATGCATGGAAACTTTTTCTTTAACACCATCGACTCCTTTATTTTACATGGAAAATAATGAAAAAACTCCTTAGAAAGAAATGAAGAAAAATAAAAATAATATATCGTACTCTGATATATACCACCACGACGCGACGACCTATTATTGTATAAAAAAAAAGTTGAAGTCACTTGGAAAAGAACACACGTCGTGCGCGTATACGCGCGTTATACGAGCGTCTAATATACACACGCGCACGCACACAAACACACACACACACCAGCAGAGACATCGCCGCCTTGCAAAAGCTCCTCTGCGCTGATGCATATCAAAAACGCTGTAATGAAATTGACCTCGTTCGGCTCTCGCGCGGCGCGCACATGGTCTATCGGCCCGAAGGATAGGTCCTTATTTTCCTTTATCTCACTCTTTATCGCTTTCTCTTTTCTCTTTCCTATCGATAAACTTCGCGCATTTCGTTTTGATATTACTACGGCGTGCGAGTGATAACGTTTTCTCCTCCTTTTTTTTTTATTTTTTATATGCGTCTTTAGCGAGAATCGAATTTTCAAATCTTATTTACTCACGAAAGTTCGAGCGTGTAGCATCGGAAATACAGTTACGAGCTTATTGCGTTATCTACACCTGCCATACGAATTTCGCCTACAACGCATATATGCACACGCGTACAGTGACGAATTCAAGGTCGCAGACAGAGCTACTACTACTGTATGACCTCGATGTGTCGTTGAAATTTCATTTTATTGAAAAACATCACGACGCAAAAAGGATTACAATATACATGCTGCAGCAGCCTCGATTTTTTTCCTCCCAAAATGTCAATTTGCCACGACGAGAGGAGACTTTTAAAGCGTCCGGGCGGCAATCGATTTATTTCGTTTTGGGTCGGGACGCGACGATGCAACACGCGTGTGCCTTCAATTTTTCATGCACCCAAAACAAAAAAAAAAAAAAAAACAAAAAATAAACGAATGTGACTAGAAATAGAATTACAATCAAAACTGTAATTTGAACAGATGGTTTTTTTTGGGAAGACAGAGTTAAAAAAACAGCGAAATGCTTCTAAATCCTCTATAACAAGTTTTCTTTGTAAGGAAATTATGGTTAAATCCCAGCACATGAGGCGAAATTAGATTAGTGAATTCAATTTTCAAAACTCATCGTATAATTATAATTTTTAATGTATCAAACATTTTAAAGAAAAAAAGGAAACATCTCCCTACAAGCTAAAATAAACTTTAATTGAAAATAAGTTTTATA